AGAGAGAGAGAGAGAGAGAGAGAGAGAGAGAGAGAGAGAGAGAGAGAGAGAGAGAAAGACAGAGACTATATCAAACTGTTCTGTACAATTAAGAATCTAAAAATAGTTTTAAGCATTCACGAGATAAGAGGTCGAGATAGAAAGAAAGAAAAACAAAGGGAAAACGTGCGATAATCAAGCAAAGAGTAGCATGCACTTAGCACAGCGGATTCGAAGGGACTGTTCGCAAATCATTATGTACCCCGTCGGAATGTATTGTGTACCTGCTGGCGGTAGGCACGAATATGTAACGTCATGTTAATGTCACGACATCATTGACACGGGAATAACGTCGTTATCGTTAGCGATATCGTTTTCCCCGTTCTCCTACGTTAAAATATTAATTTATTATTTATTTCGTAATTTCGTCTCGAGGAAGAAAAAGAAGGAAAAAGAAAACGAGTTTCTCGATAGAGGGTTTTGATAGCACACACCTTGCGCTGAGTCTTAATATGCTGTGGTATTATACGTACGTTTTAATGCAAGAGACACCTGTAAAGTTTGTACGCATAATGCATGCACGTGCAACTAAACTTAATGCAGTGTAAGCAACGATTGATTCTTAGCACAATTATTGGCGTATCGTCGATTTACCTAATTTAGTCCTCGTAAGCTTTACACATACACACACATATATATATACACACAGATTCATATACACTGACATTTCAGATCGTAATACGCTCCGCGAAGGCGCCGTTTATACATATATATATACTCTGCATTAGTGAAACGAGATGAACACGCTCGAGTGTGCCCGCGACAGTTGCGTTCCGCGCGTTTTCAGCTGTTAGCGACATGTACGACGACAGATCGGCGCTCCGCTGATCGGAGCTTTTTATTACGTACGTGCGTCGCGTCGAACGGAGGGTATTTCACGCGAACGTAATTTTATTGTACGTTTGCCGAGTTAGCATACTATTCATTGTAAAATACTAGGGACTTCAGAGAGTAATACTTTTTTTTTTTAATAAAATTATATGATCATTACACTTTGAGAGTTGCACTCATGTGTGTATACAATACCCCTCTTGCTGGATTCTAGCTTTGCTCTACGATTCCGCATCGGTTGCTCCAGCAACAGGGAAACTCGAAACGAGAGAGAGAGAGAGAGAGAGAGAGAGAGAGAGAGAGAGAGAGAGAGAGAGAGAGAGAGAGAGAAAAAGAGAGGGAGGGAGAACCAAGGTGTTACCTCATTATATCGTTCGCATGATCGTTTACTTTTATTTCATAATGTTATCCACACACTGTGGGGCCACATTACTCTACCCGCTGCATGATCCAAACTAATCGGTAATGTACATATCATGCGATGGAAGGATGGTATAAGCCGTGCGTTTAAGCACCGATGTCGCAGGTAAGTGACAACATGCATTATGACCGTCTGCTTTTTTACGCTTTGTAATTATGCTCATATGTTAATCGTGACGTTACTCGCACTCGACTCGATCGGTGATTATACCGAACGAAGAATGACGAAAGACATCCAAGCAACGTTTCCGAATGCTCAAGTCTCTTTTACGCGCGCACGCCTTTTCTTTATCAGAGCGTGGCGATGGCACGCCACAAGAAGTCACCCAAGTATTTTTTGATTGTTTCGTGAATCCATTGATCACGTTGAGTCGTGCGAGAACGTGAGATATCTCTCATTGCGTCTTTGTGTTTTTCGTAGTAAGAAAGAAAAAAAAAATAGAAAGAAAAATCAACGGTATACGAATTAAACGCGCGAAACATTTGTACAAAGTATAAATAGTTTAACGCTACAGCTTGTGGAAGGCAGCAGACGATTCACCGCTTTATTCGCTTCGAGGAGCTCTTCAGGAAGCGTTTAACCGTTTGGAAAGATCCGTCTCGCGGAGGACAGTCGCGCGTAATCCTTCTTCGAGTAAAATAGGTGGTATAGTTCTCATTTTCTTACGCAATCCGTGTGATCGTGATCGTCATGCTTGTCTCGCCCTCTCACACTTGCTACATGATAAACCTTTTCATCCTGAAATCGATGATCTAATGTAACAACTGCTGGAAGAATCGACGCTTTCTGTACGACGCGGTACCGTGAGATAGTTTAAGATTGTCGGTCGGAGTGACTTCTCGGCGTGGTGAAAAAAGGATTTCGAAAGAGCATCCGACAGACTCCAGATGCCGCTGAAACGTTCTTCTTTCACCTCAAACGCAAAGTACGCTCTGTTCGCGCGATCTTGTTTTGCGATATACAGGATGAAGCACATAACTCGATCTCGTATTCGGTTATCACTGTTAATAATGAGATAATCTAAAATTTGTATCATCTAATAGAATTATAACCAGATAGAATACTTTGTACAGCAAATTTGTAGGTCGCATTCACCGACAACGCAGAAATAGAATTCGGATCGTCGAGTTATATGATTTTATCGTCCTGTATGTATAAATACTTGATTATCTAACACTTTGCAATGCGCGTACGGTCGAACGTGAGTATTTTCTCATTGTATATTGAGACTCAACGTTAACCCGTTCCTTCCTTCCTGCCGAATGTTGTAGGACATAATGGCGCTGTGCAACGGCAATTGCGGTCTCATATGCGACGACTCCGACGAGGAAGACGACTCTAGTCCCACGAATTCGCCGGTTCCACCACGGAGGATTCTACCGAGTCCACCGTTGCCACCTCGAAGAACCTCACCCACACCGAATAATCATCTTAAGAACGGTCGTCACCTGACAGTGCCGAAGGAGAACGCTCCGCCACCACCGACGGTCACCACGGTGATAATGAATTACGCCGACACTCCACAGAATAACAAAGGTATCTGACATAATTTCTAGAAAGCATTTCGCTCAAATTCGTTCTTTATGGCGACTGATGTATGCAGCAGTCCCCTGCTCTATGACAATAATATACATAGTTCCGCAGTTCTCACAGTGTTTCCGTTACTTCGCAGTGAACGCGGAGGCGAGGTATGATATGCTGCATCGCGCGTCTTCGCCATCACCGGTGGTGCCGCCGATACCGCCCGCACCATCAGCAGCGGTGAGAGCTCATGCTCGTCGTTCCCACGGGAACCACACGAGCACGTCGCAGCCTCAACCGCAGCCGCCGACGTTGCCGGAAAAACCGTGTCGCGCTGGCGCGACAAGCTCAACGACGAGCATTCAGACAGGTCCAAGCAATAACGTGCCACCCGTCCCACCGCCCTTGTCGGCGCCACGACCGCCGAAGACCGGCAAGGAGAGTGCCCGACAAGATCATCATTACGAGAACACGATTGTGATACCCGGCACGAGACAGCACGTCGTGAAGAACATTAATCTGGAGGCGAATAGGGCTCGTTTGACGGCTTTGATGAGAGCCAGAGGCGATACGGTGAGCGGGCCGGTGACCAAGCCGGAATCAGCGGCGTATGAGAACGTCAATGTGGAGCACATAACGAGACTGACGGCGCTCGGGTTCGCGCAGGACGCCGTGATCAGGGCGCTTGGTATCACCAGGAACGACCTCGAAATGGCTTGCGACATACTGCATGAGTTCGCCACGAAGTCCTCCTGACCAGGTACACTACTGAAATAAAGGAGAATAATACAATTAGTCTGACGAATCTTCGTTAGAAGACTATTACTAAGAACAAAATATTTATAAAAGATAAGAAATATTTATTCAGCAAGCAGTATATATATATGGTAACGCTATCATATCGATGCGTTTCTTTAATTTATATACAAAAATAACCAATTGCATATAAGAAATTAAATATGTAGCTAATAGGGGGAGTCGATGAAGCGAGATAGCGAATATATATCTTGTGAATTACATTTATTTACTGTATCTTTAGTGATTCAAGCTTCAGCTGAACGTTGAAATAGTCAATAGAAATTTGTGTGACGTTCAACGTGTCAGAACATACGATACGCTGTACAAATGTCATTATTATATTAATGTGTACGATGAAATTTGTCGCAGGGCCAAATGCCGAGGTCTCATGACCGGCCTTACCTGCCAGACGGTACTTTTGACAGGGAACACGCGCGGAGTCTTGCAAGTCCCACCTCTAATGCGTTCACAGATGCGTCGCGCGTTTTCGCGGAGCGTCTCACCACGTCACTACAGTATCGAAGACTCGACAGTGCCCAGTTTTGAGTTCTGAAACATTGACGAGCGGGAGAGACATTGCGACGATTCCAGTTACCGGCGGTGAACCTATCGAGAAGCTAATGAAGGAGAATCAGGAGAATCGTGGAACGTATACTTCCGACAAGAGAAGAATCTTTGGAGTAAGTCCCAGGGGAAACATTCATCTCGGACACAAAACACACAATACATACATGCACGCGTACACACATCGTCGATCTCGTCGCACAGATTTCGCGCAGACACTTGTCTCTCCTCATCACGTAATGCGAGTCTGCGGGACGAACTGTAAGTGAAAAATTCCAAGTATTCTTGTTTCTTGATACGTACAAAGAAGACTGGGCCGTTTCGCTGTAACGTGTACGTAACACGAGTGACAGTGTTGAGTAAGGGCGACTACCAAAAGTGATTTTACGGCTGCCGAAGTATTCCTCCACGAGCCATATATAGCGAGTAGTATAAGTCCTATACTTTTGTTCTTTAGTACTCTCGCTTTAGTTACTACTTCGTTCCTCGATATACTTAAGATAATGATTAAATTGCGCGTTTACAAAGAGAACTTGCTTATACGTTGACGAGACGCAATGACCGAAAGAGAAAGAGCGCGAAAGAGAGACAGAGAGAAAACGCGTGTACAATGTGCACTACGCACATAAATTTAGATGCAGAAGAAACACACTCTTCGAAAGTCTTCGGCCGCCCGATTTTCCATATTTTGTATTATAGCGTACCTCACGACAACGAACGTGCGACTCTCGCGTCGGCGCGTTTATAAATTATACATCGTAATCCGCAAAGGCAATACAATATCACACTTGAATCGACATTCGTGTCACGATAGGTATATACCACTGTTCAATAAGATATACTCTACGTAGATCGCATCGGATTCGTTGGATACACTTCGCTCATAAACATATTAAATGTATAACGTTATAGTACCGACCGAAAGTACGTTAGACGAAAAATGCCTGGCATCTAATTTTGTAATTTCCAGTCTATAACCCGTTTTCACGTTAAGTTAAATAGAATAGTCATATATATATATATATATATATATATATATATATATATATATATATATATATATATATGTATGTATGTATATGTATGTATTGCTATTTAATGTATATTATGTAATGTCCTCCATATTAGTATTGCGTGGTTACATTGCGCAAGATACCTCGGAGAGGATAAAAGTAACACGATAACGATTTACATAGATATATAAAATTGTTACTGTACATTCATGATTTCCGATCTTGGTTTCGAGAGACCACGGGTCGAGGCACGGTTAGTCTGTAGGATTACGCACAAGGCGATTCCGATTCCGAGGTTATTTAGACACGAGTCTACGAGACGCGCGTTTACAGATTAGTAGGGCGTATCTACCGAATGTGTTACTTAGATTTGCGCGTGTGAACACACGGTTCATGTCGCTGTGTCGATTAGAAAAGAGGCGGAAACTACGATCAGTGGTTTAATATCTACGTACGACGTGTCGATTAGCCAAGTTAACAGCATTGATGACTTCAAGTTCAAAGTGTATGCGTGTGCGGTTTCGAATTCGTGGACGGATTCGAACGAGAAAATCTCGATGTTTACGAATCGTTGTCCCGAGGTTGTACAATCGTATTAACATTTTGAGAGTACTGGTAACACAAATTAAAAGAACAAGAATATTGTTGAAATACAAAGAACACAAGAATATAGAGACGTTGAGGACTAAATTGCCGATGTCAGACGCAAACATTTTTTTTAAATTATGTACACGCAAGAGTACAATTAGAGTTACAGGGAATGTTTCAATTAGTGGTCATCTTCAAATCGATGACTTTGCATAACTTGTGGATTCCAGTCCTCAAAAGTCCTCATTAACAGTTATTATTTGAAATTCGTCTCAAGTGAGATATACAGTTAATAGTTATTATTTCATTATGTCTCAAGTAAAATACTCAGATTTGAATTCAGAGGAAATTCGAGTTTTTCAATTGAATCGCGATTCAAGATATAAATGTTACACATATGTCATAATTCAACTTTGAAGAAACTTGAATCTAGTTCTGAGTAAAAATCGAAATATCTCATATAAGACAAGTTTCAAATAACGACTATTAATACGGACTTCAGACTTAAATTCAGTGTTAATCGAGAAATTTTTCAGTTAAATCGCGATTACAGATATAAATGTCGCATATATTATAATTTGACTGAGGAACTTGATCTTAACTCTGAATAAAGATCTGAGTATCTCGTCATGAGACAAGTTTCAGGTGACAGTTGTTAATACGGGCCGAATAATATTGTTAAGAACGAATTATAACGAAGGGAATCAAATCGAGAAACTAAATATGTTGAATGAAGTGCATACAGCAGAGTCCAAGCGATAACGAAGGCACACTTGGATGCAAGTTCGCTGATATTATAGTCGCCGCTGCTGAGTCGGCAGTAGCGCCGTCGAGATACGCTGTACGTGTCGCTTTAATTTATGCCTCGTAGATGCTCAAGCACGCGAAGAAAAAAGAAGGAGAGAGATTTTCCATTTCGCGTCATCATGCGTGAGCTGGATCGCAGCGTGCGTGAGTTTGGTGATGATTGTACCACGCTCGCGAAGTGTGTCGTTCGTCATAGTGATAAAGCGACTAGCGTGCACGCGCGCGGATCGATCCTGGCATGACGGTGCATCGTGCAATAATATCTGTTGCGCCGGTCGCACGACGAAAAGTTAATTACCTACCTCGCGATTATACCAAAGGTTACGATATGATCGTCCGATACACGGCAAATAAGATAACGTTATCCGATGTCACACTCGTTAGAGACACGTTTTGACCCCTTCTGTCGCGTTCTAACGTACGCGGGCGCAAGCGAAACACGTCGTGTAACATAATTAATTATATACATATATATATATATATATATATATATATATATATATATATATATATGCGATATATTCTCTAAGTCTCGTTGAGGATCTTTCTTCCTTTGAATATTTCTTGAATGCACGCGTTCACAAGAAGGACGTGTCATCGCGGATGTTCGCAACAATCCACTGGGAAAATTTTGAAGCAGAACAGTCGGGAAGAAATTCACCGTTATACCGGGGAAATTTAGCCGCGTGATCCTGCCGACACGAGAGCCAACACACCTTGATTTAATTCGCTGTGCGCCCCTGTGCACATCACGCATCAACTCGCAGCCGCACCATCAATCGTTAGCGTCGAAAGAATGTTCAGCCTTCACCTTCGGGTTTCCCGATGCCCATATGGGTGCATTCAGTGAATTTAGCTGTCATATTTTTCTACATTGTATATTCTGGTCACTGTGTACTGTATAATATACCGGGCGCCTGTGAAAAGCGCTCGAGCTAGCGGAACCGTGAGAGACGGGAGAGACGGTTCGGTCGCTCTCTCGTGCTTTTCGTCGCGCGTTAAACGTTTAAAGATAATCGTTTGGTGCAATACGTAAAAGTAGAAGAATTTGTAGTTCGACTCCTTCCCTCATTTTAATTATTCGCTGTACAAATTGTTTTACATACTTCTCAAAATAAAAATAACATGTCGTTTATAATATCGCGTGTTGTATTCATTGCAAAATTATACTTACGTATTTACGTACAAGCCGCTCTTGTGAATACATTCACAATTTTTCCTACGAGATCGCATTTCTTTGTCTGCAAATTTATCAATTCTGTGTTAAAGATATACATATGTATATCACCGAGTATTTAATCAGTCAAGAAGTTTTTGGTTCGGTTTCTGAAACAAAGTTAACTTTATTGTATCTTATGGAAATAAATCATTTATTGATTAAGCAATTATCGTCATTGTCTATGATTAATTGCTAATAGCAAAGAATCATGGCAGCAGAATATTATCAGTATTATTACTTGTATTATATTTAAGTGACGTCATCATATTCAATCAAACCGAACTTTTTGCCTGATCTGATATATGTTATTTTATTCTTTACAAATTATTTTTTTTGTATAATTATAACTAGTTGCTTTTATGGTTTTGATTCAATTATGAATATATTTCAGAGATTAACCAGTCTGAATTACGACGTTATAGGCGAGTAAATTACGTTATTCGTTATAATCTAATGTTTGATATACTAAGATATAATTAAGGATAGAGGTTTTATTATACCTTGACACGATATATTATGATGACGATAACTCTTCTTGCATCTTCTTGTATCTTTGTATCTCTGCGTCACTGACGGAAGGTACTAAATTGTGGATGGCGTTCAGGAAGTGATGCGACTCCACAACAATGTTATTATCCTCGAGCTTACTGTTTTCGTGTTGATTGGTTTTCTCGTGTTCTGTGAGAACCTCGCGCACAGCATTAAGCCATGCGTTGGAAGAGACCGAGTATAAATCCGCGCCCGTAACGTTGTCGGGTAATTGATCGACGACCAACTCCAACTCTTGCCCGTGCTTTCGCATTTTGAATTTACGTGTCTGCGCACGCAAAACGCTGAGCTTGGACTCGCGATCGGAGTGAATACCAACGTACAGCATTTTGTCGAATCTTCCAGGTCGAAGCAGTGCCGGATCTATGAGATCAGGTCTGTTCGTAGCACCCATGATAAATATGCTGCTGGACTCCTCGAGACCATCCATCTCGGCGAGCAACTGAGAGACCACGCGATCCATCACGCCGCCGCTATCTCCGCTCCTACCTCGATTGGGTGCCAATGAATCCAGCTCGTCAAAGAAGATGATGCAAGGAGCCGAGGCGCGTGCACGCTCGAAAACTTAACGAAACAACACTTTAATTGAACATATGTTTTATGTTGACTAAATAATTAGAAATATAGCGTATTTTACAACGGATAATTTTGTAAATACACTAGTAAACGTGTTCTAAAAATAAGTACAAAAATAATTACAAAAAACATTCAAGAATTTAGTACGAGTTATATACAAATGTAAAGACGAAGAAGAATCTTATTATGTTTTGTGCCAATGATTATCAAAGTAGATCGTTCTGCGCTTCATTTGAGATTATCAGCAGCTGGATAATAGAATAAAGATTGAGAAGGGAGTATCTTTTGATACAAATATCTTTACGTTACATATTCAAACGCTTCTTGTCTTTGCTATATCATTGGTTAGTTTTTAATAATCTTTTTTAACTTCTCGTAGTGTTCCACCGGATGACGTACTTTCTCTTACGTTTTTCTCGCTCTGGCCGACGTACATGTTTAATACTTCCGGACCTTTAACGGACAAAAAATGCATTTGATATTCCGTCGCCACTGCCTTAGCGAGGAGAGTCTTCCCAGTTCCGGGCGGACCATATAAAAGTAACCCGGACTGCCCGAATCCAAAAGCGTTTAACAGAGGTAGTTGTATTCTGCGAATAATTTCGTGTTTCAGTTCCGCCAAGCCGCCTATGTCGTACCAGTGAACTTTCGGTACGCGTGGCGCGCCTTTACTGTCGGAGTACACCGATTGCATATATTCTGAAAATATATTTCTACGCTGTGAAGGATTAAATGTGGTTGATCTTGATTTTAGTTTCACTAGAATTAATTAGAAAGCGATTATACCGTAAGCTCGCTCGAAGTCCTCTTGCGCCAGAGGCGATGTTAACCCGCAGTGAAGCTTAGCCGCGTGTAGTGACAACGCCAACAAATCGGCAAACCTGAAATCTGAGCAAGCGCCGGCTACTTTCGAGAGATCCGCGACGGTCGTCAGATTCCTCGTGGACAAAAACCACGACATCAATTCCACCCGTTCGCTCTGATTTGTATGCTTCATGTGAATCGTCTCGATGAACAATCGTTGCAATTCCGCGGATATGTCGGTCTCATCTGACGCGGCTACAATGATCAGGGGGAATTTTCGTTGCGTGTCATACAATGCGGTGATCTCTTTCGAGAAAGTGGATATGATTCTCTCATCTTTCTGTCCTTCGGCAGTTTTACCGAACACCTATGGACAAAAAGCGCCGATTTTTAAATAATCAAACATGATGTCGTTCTTCATCTCTTGCATATTGTCTGATATTTTGAATATCCAAACTATATCTATTTTGGATATTTACTTGGATATTGTTTAAATATAGCATACACGGCACGCGTCGCTGCGCTGTTTGCAGCACTATGCGTAGTTTAGCCTCGCTCGGTGCGGTTGTCAAAGCCTGTACCTCTGCGAAGTCAATGTCGAGGAAGTTCAGTCCTAGTCTTTCCGACGTGATTTCAACTAGTTCGTGTTTGCCGCAACCTCGTGGTCCTTTCAGGAGGAATATCGGTTTCACGTGTAATTGATTGCCTGCAATCAATGTAATGAAAGAGAGTAAAAAAGGTATATTTACGCATAATTGTAACAACTCGAATATTGATGTCTAGATGTGCGTAAGCAATGATTTACCTTTTCTTAAGAATGGTGTAATACACGAATCTAAACACTCCATGGTTTCCAATAAGACTGATGGATATTTGGTATTCAGTAACTTCTCTGTCTTTTCGTTTTCTGGCAAAAAAGCTTTATTGGAGAACAGATGAATGTGTTTTCGAGGAATGTAACTGTGAACTTCTGTCTCCTGAATAAGTGTCGATATTCCACGTACGACGTAACAACTATTGACGTTATAGCAATGTCTATTGTGACTCAATTTTAAAGAATTAACTATAAAGTATATCACAGGATTTGTCGGAGTACCAGACGTGTAAAATCGATCTTGAGCGTATTCCTGCGCGTCGATCCTAATCACGTCATTTACATGTAAATAATGAGGATGTAAGAAATAGTTCTCTAACATGGTATCCATTATCTCGTTTGCGCAACCGTATGACGTGGTGATTAAGGATATTTTAACCTCAGTCGCAAACTGAATCACATCATCTTTCGATGGTACTAAAAGTAAATTTCAAAATTTAATTACTGGCTTGCAAATATTCGATTATTCGTTAAGATCACAAAATAAACAAATTCATGAAAATATACAGCTCAAAAGTAAAAGAAATATCATTAAGTTCATAAATAATATGTTTAATAAGATATATAAGTATTTACGTATAAAACATGAATCATCTAACTCTTCACAGCACAGGGCATTTTGTAAGTTGTGCTGCATTGTTTCAGATATTAGAATAGTATTCTCATTAACATGGTCTACATGTATAATTGCACATTTATATTTTTTCATCGAAATCATTGAACATATCAAAAACCAAAAACTTTGTGATTTCTTTAAGGATTGTATGTTTGCTAATGCATAACATTCATAATCGATGTATTCATCTTTTGTATCTTCCAAATTGTTTAACATGTGCCTTATGGTGGTATCTGGTAATATGATCCAGCAAATATTTTGTTTAAATAATCTTTGTAATCTAAGATATAAAAATTCCAGAAAAATATAGCTCAGTAAATAATGTGGATGTTTCCATAGTAAAGTACTTGTTATTCCTCTTATGGTATTTTTATAAAATAACAATATGGGAAGCATTTTCTGGTCCATTTTATGCATAATTTGTTAAACAATTCTTTATAAAAACTGTAGAAAATTATGGTTAATCTTGAATCTTTTCAAGTATATCTGAAAATAAAGAAAATAGGATAGTTTATATTTCATAAATGATATTAATAGCTATGAAAATATATCAGCAGGTAAAAATGCAAAATAAAATATATATTTCTTTATATGAAATTTTTCTTAATTATCTAAATCGCGTTAAATAAAAAAAATAGAATTATAGTTATAATCTTTGCTTGAAAAGTTATGTATGACATCATACTGACAATATTACGAAAATTACTTATTCTTCAATATACATAAATTATCTGTCAATTATTTAAAAATATATTCATCATTCTCTTCGTACCGGAGCGATGTTAGAGGTTACGTTTAATCGTAGAGTATATTGCCATCGAATAAACGCGACAAGAAAAATCGAAAGTAGATATTGAAACAGGCATAATCAATTGTAAATTGATCGATGTTACAAACGTGTCAGTAGATTATCAGTGCAGAACAACATAGCCCGCGTATTTTTACGAATAAAGGCAGAAATAATTATTGCAGTCTCGAAATCCGAACATAGTGAATTGCTGCGGTCTCACTTGTCATGGATGAGAATCACTGACGTACCAATTTTGGCCCGATCTACCGAGTTACTATAGGAACAGTAGCGCGCAGGAGGTCTCTTCTCCCAAAGGAGCGTGTAAAGGTTCCTTTGCGGATAGCCGCGCTTACAAGCTCCGTGATAATTATTCGCGGCCAGACAATGGCATAACTGTGTGTTGTCTGTCGTAGCTGACTTCGTGCCACAGTTGCACAACGATCATCGATCGCACGTCGATCCAATTCTCGATCCGGGGATCGAGACTTCGCTACTGTTCGTCGGTTGCCGGTGCGAGGCGACGCGACGCGACACGACGCGACGCAACCCGACGGATCTTCCGATCGTTCGAAGTACCATTGTAGTGGGAAGGCAGTGAAAACCGTTGGTGGTGGTTGGTGGCGGCCTCCGAGAGCCGTTAAAACGCGTACCTAACCTAACCTAACCTCGAGCCCGATAGCGTCCTTATTGGACTTTTCGGAAGAGAATTCGTTCGAATTTAAAGGTCTGGCTGCAAGTTACGGAATTATTATGCGAAACTGTGGTAAGCGAAGGTGCGCACGTGCTCTGATAAGAATCTGAGTTGCTACCGCGCTAGATGAATGTGTATATGATATATTCGGGACGTTGACGTCGACACCGACATCGCTGTCGATGTCGATGAGTGACGAACTACTTTGCGAATTCGAAATTAGTGTCGCGACTCTGACACTACGATAGTTCTAACGAGGAACAAATCGTCGCGTTTTTGTTTGTCGTGCTGCATTGTGCATTACACGTATTACACGTTTGGACGTTTTCTGTTGACAGTTGGAAGGATGTTTATATTTTTATGTGTGTGTAATCATACAGTTGATTGATTCGCTGCTAAGTGTTCATAGATATTGTTTGCATTTAATCGTGAAACTTTTTGTTGTTTCATCAGTGAATAAGGAAGTTTTTGAGAGATAAATAATACAGTGATGGATCCTGCCACAGTAATAGCTCTGTGCAAAGAAAATATCCAGCCATTGAGGTATGGGCGGAATGCCACACAACTAGGAACTGCACTAAGAGCTCAGGAGGACATAGACGCGCAGCAGTTGCTTTTACAGGAAAAACAGTAATTATCACAAGATGCTAATTGTTACAAGAATACTAACTATTTGCAACTTCAATCTTTTTTACACGAAAGTGATATTTCATCAAGCAGAAATGACTTATGTTTAAATTTGGTTTTGAAGTTATAGAAAATAATGTATATCATTTTAGGATGTATGAAGATGCGATAAAAAATTATGAAGGAGAAGATCCTTTAGAGAATTGGTATGAATATATTCTTTGGGTTGAGCAGAGTTATCCAAAGAATGGGCATGAATCCCATATTGGAAGACTCTTACAACAATGTTTAACATTATTTGAAAAGGAGATAAAGTATCATCAAGATCGTCGATACATACGTTTATGGATTAATTATGTGAGGAGCATTTTATATGAATATAATTGCATCGATATATTAATAAGATATACATATTAATAAGATTTTGCTTTTAGATAAGTATGCAGAAGAATCCTTTGGAATTGTACCATTTGTTGCATAACAATGGAATTGGGACTACTGTAGCAGATATGTACAGGGCTTGGGCTTTTGAGCTAGAACAAATTGAGGATTATAAACGTGCAGATGAAGTTTACCTAATGGGATTGTCTGCTCATGCGGAACCATTCGATGAACTGAGTCACGCACATCAGTATGAATTTTTGTTTTTTGCATAATAAAATACTTTAAATATATAAGTTAAGCAATGAAAAAATTTGTTTTTTTATAGGAACTTTCAGTTGTCTGTGGCACGTAAAACACTTGGACGTATTGAGGAGAGAAGTGATATATCATTGCTGGAACAACGTCAAGCTTTTAGTTCTTTGAAGGCGATAAGAACTGGTAAAAGAGTCGGTAGTATACGAACAGGCCACCGTGTCCGCGATTATTTTCCTGGCACTGTACAGCAGATTGCAGGTTCTATGCACAATACAAAGCCCAACTCTAAGATCCAAATATATCAGGTAAGGAATATATATATATATATTGACACTAGATACTACTACAACTCTATAACTTGTATGTATAATAAAAATAAATATTGCAATAAAAGATATCTATTTCAAACAGGATGATATGGCTGGAGAAATGAAAGGTTCCAGTATATTAGATCATGTGCCTATAGAGGATATGGTACACAAAGAGAACACTATTAAGGCAGGACCTTGGAATAATGGAAACAGAAGATGTCCATTAATAACTTCTACTGTGAGACCAGGTTTCAAAGGTAAAAATAAGATACACCAAATTGGAGAAGCAAATATTCTTGTAGGAAACCACTGGCAAGTTTCTTTTTATCCTTTTTCAGTTCATGAAGATCAGAATGACGAGTGTGACATGGAAAAACTGAAATTATTCCCAAATCATGTACCTTTTGCTGATGGCAGCAAAGATCATGACTGTTTGAGGGTACCAGTCTATGTACCAGATCCAATATATTCAAATATTGTACAAAAGGCATATTATCCCAAAGAGCTAGTTTATGCTGATAATGTTGATCGTAGTATGGAAGAGATTAGAGCACAACTTTATTTACAAAGGTATATATTGTGCTATAGAAAGATAATATGGAAACTATTTATTCTTTATAGAAACATATAGCATTATTATTATGACTTATATAGTACATGTATTACTAATTATTATGTATTATAAAATATCGTATTTTTTATACAGAAGAGCGCAACTTCTGGAAAATAAACATGAAATGTCGGTGGTTTGTTTACGTGGAACTAACGAACAACCACATTCACAGCTCAACAATTACGAAAATATGTTTCATTTACAAGAAATGGAAAAGCAGAGAAAATTGGATCAGCAAAGAAGGGAAGCTGAGATCAGCAGACAGCAAAGACTGCAAGCCGAACAACAGGAACTACAGAGGCAACAGTATGAGGTCGAGAATCGGGCCTTGGAGACTCAACGACAGGAAGCTGAGCAGAGAGAATTGGAAAGGTTAGAGAGAATAGAAGCTGAGAGAATAGAAGCTGAGAGAAGAGAAGCCGAAAGAATAGAAGCTGAAAGAATAGAAGCCGAAAGGATAGAGGCCGAGAGGAGAGAGGCCGAGAGAATTGAGGCACAACGAATAGAAGCGGAATTAAACACACAACGGAAATTGCAGTCATCGAGTTTTATGCACCAGCATCACACTTCGTCATTAGCCGCTGATGCCGAGGAGCATTTACTCGGTTTGAGTCTCACCGTAAATACAAAGGAGGCCATCACGGTAGTGCAGAGTATGTGGCATTCCCCGGATGCCACAGCCGCTAATACTCCGCGTTTTCGTAGCCCTATAACACCCAGAATGGTAGACTCGAGAAGTAAATTGCCATTCGACATACATATGGACAGTTCTATGACTCAGCATGCAATGTCTAATAGTAAGCATCATCAAGGATATAATATGCAGGTTTATAATGATCAAGAGAATCATCAGAGTTATCATACGCCGCACCATAGTTACTCCGCTCAGGATCAGCAAGCAGCATACGGAAACCATGGATTGCAAAACAGTTTTCATTATCAGATGCAGGTATAGAAAACATTTGCGATAATATTTTACACTGCTATATTACGTTATACAATTAGAAAATTAAGAAGATAGTATTTTTACTGTGCAGGTACGTTTTGCATGTTTTTTTGTTGTTTATATATCTTTGATTCAACATGAAAAGTATGTAAAGTAAAACGGACGTTTTGATTACAGCAACATCACGATCATCAAGTGCAACAACCGCATCCTCGTCAGCACCATCCTCAGCAACATCATCAACAGCTGATGCCGTCGCCTCAGCAGATGCATACCGCACATCATCAGTCCCTCACCCATCCGCAGCATTTACAACCTCACAGTCAGATACCGCATCACCAGCCACACGTTCATCAACAACATCATCACCATCACCATCATCATCTTCATCACCAATCGCCGCATACACCACAAATGCCGCATCCCCAGCAATCGCATCACATGCATCAACATATGCAACATATCCAACATCCCGTTTACGGCAACATGATGCCCAACGACATCGGTTATCAGCAGTATCCAACGTCAATGGAACCTCCTATGCTGCAACATAGTGTAGAACATCAGAAGCAATTACACTTCTCGCCATATAACGACTCCGATATCGAGACCAGCAAACCGTACAGAATGCCACCGGAGTTACCGTATATCAAGTCACCTGGCATGAATCGTAAAGATATTAAGTATCTCGAAAGCGCGGAAGATAAAGAGAACGCTATCGTTGTGGATTACAATGGTCCACTCGAAGAAAATATGGTACCTAAACCAACGGATGAGAACAATTTGTATATTGATGAGAGTTTGGGTATAGCTCCTCTATTGGCTAGTAATGATACATGCTTCACAGAAGCATTTAACACACAATTAGCCAGTTCCACGCCAATGACTAATCATTTCAAGCCATCTTACAGGAAAGAAGATCCGCAATATTCAAACGAGACTACTTCGAATCAGCCGTATGTATCGATTATTTGTTCTTTTTGAAGTTAAATACATTAAGATGTTTAATTTGAATTTTAATTACGTTGGACAGAATTACGGAAGTACCTACTCGCGAAGGTGATGAGAAATTGAGCGTAATACTTGAATCTACTCGAGAGTATGTTTCAAGCAGTTCAGGTAGCAGCACTTATACCAGGACTGCTGGATTAACTTTTGGATTAACCAGGGAGGATATGGTTCCTATCAAGGAACAATCTGTGGAAACTAGTACGTATATTTTTGTTATATATATCTCATACACATCTATTTGATTACATATACTTTTAAAGATATAAAATTAGATACATATTTGTAAATATAATTTTTCATTTTAACATTAAATAATTTATTAAGTATTTTGTAAGTTTTCTTGAACAAAAATGAACATTCTTTTCTGTTGTGATTAAGCTACAAATAAGGAGTCGAATGAATCCATGCTATCCGTGAATCAACCTTATGAGCAGAAAATGCACGCACAGATCCAAGCTGTGCATGCTCAAAGTCCACGTACAGTTCAACGAAATGTTGATCAAATAACTTCTGAGATAAAGAATAATTGCGATTTGAGGAAATCTATAAATTTTAACCTTAATAATGAAGATAATATTGAGAAATCAGACACTATGGATTGCGAGGAGCATGAACCTATGGAACAAGTGGAGGAAGAATGTTTCGAACTCCCTACAAAAGATATAAATCCTTTTGATAAGAACTTAATTGCTGGTTTACTGAAGAAAATAAAATTTCCGCAAGCCCATCACGCAGATGGATACACAAGAATAGATACTAACTTAAACAAGTTCGTGCCTTCTACTTTGGTTACGCTCGGTCAGTATATATTTTACTCCGCTTAAAATTTATGTATTAAAACATATTTACGAATCGTCGTTTCTATTTTAAAATATACTTGCATTTATAATTGTGTAGGCAACGAAGCGTACGATTTGGAAAAGTGCCTTGGAAAAGGAATGTATGGAACAGTTTTTAAAGCAGTTAATGTGCAAACAAGCGAAATTGTTGCTCTGAAAACAGAAAAGCCCGCTTGGGTTTGGGAATATTATATCGTGCGAGAAATAAAAGCACGTCTTACAAATCCACATATGGTATAATATAACACATAAATATGATGCATCTGTCACGATTGATTGACACACACACACACACACACACCAACACACACATTAATACTTCCAATTCTAAAATATATTTACAAATATATAAATTATTTTTTTTCCAATTAATATTGATGTTTTTTTCAGTTACGCGGTTTTATGGATGTGACAATGGCGTATATAGCAAACAACGGTAGTGTACTAGTTTCAGAATACTCCAAATTCGGAACATTGTTAGCAGTGACAAATCAAATAAAAATTGCCACTGGCAAACCTCTTATGGAGACTTTAGCTATTTTCTTCACAATTGAAATGCTTCAAATCGTGGAGTACTTACACAAATGCCAAATAATACACGGAGACATAAAACCAGATAATTTTTTACTAATGCGACCGTTAGTATTACTTAAATTTTTCTTTTTAAAATATATAAAATATATAATTGCGTTGTTATATTTATGCATTTATCTACAGACCTACTCAAGATGTAAGACCAACTATACAACTGATAGATTTCGGATGTAGTATAGACATGAAATTATTACCAGAAAATACAACGTTCACTCAAGTGATTAAAACGGAAGACTTCACTTGTATCGAGATGCAAACTGGCAGACCATGGACATATCAGACTGATCTGTATTGTCTAGCAGCGACCAGTCATTGTTTATTATTTGGCAATTATATGAGGGTATCCAATATAGGTGGCCGTTGGTTTATTGCTTCGAAACTACCAAGGTATACAAGTAACAGCGTGAAATACATCAAATACGTGACATTCTAACATTTGTGCTTTTTGTTCTATAGGTACGCTAAAAAGATCGCATGGGAACAGTTCTTCACAGAATTATTGAATATTGAGTCGTGTGACAAAATGCCTGACTTGGCAAGATTAAGAAATATGATGGAGGAAACATTGGCACAAATGCCAGAGGTGCAAACGAAATTCCGAACTTTCGTCAATATTCTCAACAAACGATAACGCTTACTGTATCTGATGATATGTTCCAATGTGTGCACATACTTAGTAAAGAACCAACGTGTAATAAGAAACATTAATGTTATTGTGCTATTTATTATAAAGGTTAATACTACAGTGATATATATATCTACGCAGTTATAACACATTGAAAAATGCACTTTATGGCCTGCTCCGTGGAGGCCTTTACAAATATATGTTGCTTGCACATTACCGATATTATTAAGAGCACTGTGCAACGAGTTTGATCTTTTAACAAATGTTTCGGAAACTTACGAAGTTTGCGAAGATTTATACGATAGAGATTTTGAAAATGTATCTTGTTATCTTTCACGGTATGAATACACTCGCAGTTGCGAATAAATAGTTGTATAATAAGATTCATAAAGTCTTACTAAATTCGAATCTGTAAAAATGAATAGTACAATGTGCGTGTGATATGGATGTGCACTATGGACTCTCAGATCAGCAAGATGGCATGCATGTACACTAAGTAATTGAGTACCTTGTATAGATAACTAATGTATATGTAATCCTTGTATATTTACTATAGGTCATGGTTCTAAACCACTCGATTCTGTCGCATTGATGTCAACGGGTTCTGTCGTTTTGCTTTCAGATATTCTTCAAAATGTACGGAAATATATCGTGTCAATCATGTTAACTGTCTATATTTCAAACACTCTCCTTAGGCTTATTTTTAATTACGTGAAGCAGTAAAATAATTTTACAGAAAATTATTTCAATAACTTCAGATATTGAAAAACGTGTTGATTATAATTTAGTGGCGATGAAACAAATATTACGATTACACACATATAATTTACTCATTAACCATCTGAAACAATTTTTTTTATCTTGAACATATACAGGCTTATTTTCAAGTATTCACTAAACAGATTTCTCTTTGATGTAGTACATTTTATAAGTTAGAGTAAATATATTTCTAAGTATACTATAATCGATCAAATTAAAATCGGTACGAAATTTTAAAATTAAAAATAAACAGTTGAGATAAAATATATTGAGTAAAGTTGATAATACCAAGATAGGTATCTTAATTTTCTTCTTGATTGCTACAATCATACGTTACACTATTAAATATCTTGGTGATCTTGAAATCAATATTTACAAACTATATGTAGATTTGTGAGATGTTGCACGTAAAATATTTAGAAATACTCAATACAAAGTAGAGATTTCTTATCCAATAAATTGTATTTTCATTAATTTTTAGCCCCAAATATACTGTTTTTAATGAAAAATTGATATCACTAATTAGCAAGTAAATTTAATAAGTACAACAAATGAATATTGTCATTTTATGTTTGCTAAATGTTCACAAATTTGCTTAATTGATTTTCGGGTTTAAATAATTAAACTTCATTTATTTGTAATTTGTAAAATAAACATTAGAAAATTGGTTTTATATATAGAATGTCTTTTATTTTTAAAATGGAATATCTATTGCAAAGTGACAAGTTTAAATAACGAAGATAATTTAACTAATAAAAAATTAATATAATATTGCATTATTAATAACTATATTTATTTGACTATTTTATTCTATTACTAAAAAAAAATAAAATTTTTGTAATCTGTTGTTAAATTGTATTATTTAAAAATATTAATCTGCTTCATTTATTGTTAAGTTGTATTATGACCTCAATTTCTCAATGGGTGCGTTCAGCGGAAAAAGCGCTCAGTGAGCAATTAGCGATTATTGGTTCTTACTGTTAGATCTCT